CACCAGCCGATGCAGGACAAAGCCCTCCCATTTCGGGGCTTCCCAGACCTCCTCTAATTATAGTTTCCTCATCAGGCAGCTTCACTGTTTTACTACGAAGGGCTGACAATTTGTAAATCTGAACACGCCCTGATATAGGGCTTTTTTTCCTGTGTTCTAATGGCAACTTTTGGTCTCACCCAGATGTAGGTCTGGGTGAGGGAAACTCCATCTGATGTCTAAGCACCACAGAGCACAGATGTGGGATCATATTCTCGCTCCCACCTATATAATTAGTACAATATATTCTTGCAGGCAAGGTGCTCTCCAAGCTGGGCAACCTCAGAATCAAAGTAGCATAAACCTTTGGTAGAATACCAGTGTTTCACTTTTTTTTTTCTCTCTTTTTTTCTGCCATTGTGAGGTTTTTTAACACTTCTGTTCCTTTTGTTATCTCCTCAGAATCTCTTACTGCCCTCACGGGCTACAGAAAAAGGTTGTTGTCAGTCCCTGTGAGGGAAGGTGGGAGAAAATGAAAGTCTGTGGGATGAAAGGCATTTTTTATTTGTGTGTCTGTGTGATCTCAGCTCCATTTTCTAAGTGACTTAGGGCCCTACTTATGCAGGTATTTAGGCAACTAGTGATCACGATCTACTATTTCAACCCTATGTGTGCGTGTTTATCTACTTTATCTGGATGGCTATTAAATTAAAGTACTGTATTTGTTAATGTACAGCTGTACTATGCTGCTGGGTGTCCACTGTGCTGGTGTGCAGGAATTATTTAATAGTAATAAGTACATCACTCTACTTATTTATCTACCCTCTGCTCTGCCCATGTGGCTTATAAAGATTCCTAGTTTCTGTTCGGTGGTGATGAAAAGTAGGTAGATCTTTCTTCTGAGACGTCTGCAAGATTTTAGTCATTTAGGCTTTCTATGTTGAGCTGATTAAAATGGTCCTGCAAGAACGTCGGGGCATTTCCTTGAGCATTAGCTCAAGCACTAGAATTATTCCCATGCGTTGTTTGGATTGACTGGAGGTGGACAGACACGGAGATGGACAGACACGGAAGTGGGTTGTGGAGGCTGGCAGGTTCCTGCACCATTTGTGCTCAAACTAGTTAAAGCTTGGGTCTGTTTGTGAACTGTCTTTATGGTTTGAAAATATCAATCCTTGGCACAGTCTCTGTGATGTGGGTCTGATGGAGGATGGCTCAACTCGCCCTACTGTCACCACCCAAGAGCCAGGAGCCGAGCGAGGTGTCCAGGTGCCCTTATGGCCCGTAGAGGGAAATGAGACCATTCAGAAAGGCCTCTCCAGATGGGAGGAACATCACCACCTGCTTCATGGACTGTTCTGGATGGGAGGAATAACACACAGATGTTCTGTGCTTGCTCCAACAGCTATAGAAGAAGCCCAGGCAGTCAGTTTTACATGAATGACATTTGGGACGCAATTTAATTTATCGCAAAAAAACCCCAAACAAAACAAAAACAACAGCGACAAAAAGCCAGGTTGACTTGTGTGGCTATTTGAGCAGCCCCTGAAGACTTCCACTCCCTGGTAGATTCTGTGATAACCCATCTCTACAGCAAGGACGCTGGTTGAACCTGTGGTCCCTTTCGTCCACGCGTGTTGGGAACTGTTTTGCTGTTCCTTTTCAAGGATCAGAGCAGAAGCTGCCCAGGCCCATCCAAGAGCAATGCCAACTCAAGGGAGGGAAGAGGAAGTTATCACAGGAAGCTCCCCCTTCATCCGCAGGATGCATGAACATCTCTCTGGATGCATGGCTGTCTCTGGAGCCAGCTCAACAGGTCCAGGTGTGGCTTGGTCTGCTGTGCCAAGGCTGAGCTGGTGCCAGTGACGATCACAACAGCAGCCTACACGTGGTGCACGTGGGGTGGGATGGCTGCTCCTCTTGTGCAGGGCTTGCAGGAGGCCTTCTCAAGCGGGACACAGCTGCCTCGGAGATCAACGCAGTGGTTCTATATGAACTGCCACCTGGTTTGCTTCATGCAGGGAGTTGATGTATCCATTTACGGCAATGATTTTGGATAGACATCTATCTAACCATTGTTGCACTCAGAGCTGGCCTGTTTGGTGTGTGGGTGTTGCCTCCCCTCGGTCATAACACTGGTCATAACCAAGATCCATGTGGATGGTCTGAAGTATTGCCTGATGGAGTGCGCATTAGAATGGGCTACTCAAAATAGAAAGAGCAGGGATGAAGATGTGTGGTACCCAAAGTAGTCATTCACAAACTCAATGGACAGGCGGGAACTAGCAACCCTTTAGAAACTCTTGTGCACGCTGCTGAGGAATTGTTAGTTAAGGCAAGCAAAATCACGGGTCATGTCCACGGAGTCTCACCTCCTCCTGACTTGAAGTCATATATTGTCCTCCTAATCTTTATCCCAGACTAACAACAGCTCCAAGGTCACACAGCAGTTTTGGTCTCCACGTAGTTCAGACATAATTTGTCCTACGGAGAATTTTGCAGGGAGTGGATATGGTTCTGAAAACATCTTTCAGCTTGACCGAAATACGGGAGTGAAGGAGGATAATTTACATTGGTTTCACTTGAGATGCACCAGCACTTGGAAAATATTGAGCCCATTTAAAATGGAACAGGATTTTGTTTAAAATCATAATGCTTTGGAAAACCTTCCCCAGATGTGTTGAAGTGGATCTGTTTCCCTATTTCCCCCCACTCACTTCAAAATCACGGTCATTACACATTTTTTTTTTGGTTCACCATAATTATTCTTTCCAGTGGGACACGCAATTCTCAGTCAAAGTCAGATTTTTATATAGGTATATAAAAAGGGGAAAATCAGTACGAAATGTGGTTGAAATTCCCAGTAACATGTAGGTAACTAGTAAAGTTTAATTACAAAAAAAGGAGCACAAATGGAAGTTTGGGCTCCCAGTTGGCCATTCCTGGTGTAAGGCTATAAGAGGCCAAGTTTGGT